CCCTTGGCTTCTGAGATGCCATCAGAGAGGCCAGATACACAAAGCCTGTGTAAAAATTATAAGACTGTTTCATGTTTTCATGAACAAACATGAGAGAAAATGGGTGAAGGGGAAAAACCATCGATCAGTTATGTGTCTTCCATCCCCCACCCAACATGATGCAGCTTTAACAGTTGAATGATTTTAAAAGGAAAACATGTAAATTGAGCTTCGCCTGAGTTCATAATAAAGAGCCATTAAATTAATTGACTGTCTCAGTGCCCACCTATCAATATGCCTGAACTGCACATCCAAGTTGCAGCTACCCTGTTTCCCCGAAAATAAGACAGTGTCTTATATTAATTTTTGCTCCCAAAGATGCACTAGGTCTTATTTTCAGGGGATGTCTTATTTTTCCATGAAGAAGAATACGGTACACATTTATTGTTGAACAACAAAAAAGGAAATGTATTACCTGTATATGGTACGGTAGTAGTTGTCATCACAAACCAGCATAACCAGACAAACTGAATCCTACAGTATCAAGAATTTCTTGTTACTCCCATTATTTCCATGTACAACAATCTATGGTACATTTACTCATAATCTATGGTATATTTACTTGCACTTCCTGTCTGCTCCAGCTGCGCTGCGGCCAACAGTGAGCTGCGCGGTGGTGCCTGCTGCTACGGTCCAGAGTCCAAGAACTACAGTAGCTTCAGGGGGCCTTATGTTCGGGGAGGTCTAATTTTCAGGGGCATGCCTTATATTTCAGTGAGAGGCAAAACTGTAAGTAGGTCTTATTTTCGGGGGATTTCTTACTTTCGGGGAAGCACGGTAGTAGGATTGTCACGGGTTGTGCTCTTATTCTCAGGCAAGACGGGCCTCTGGTCACTTGGAGAGAGCTATCTTCACAAGCACAGCCTTCATAAAGGTAAAGGCTCAGGGTTGCCAAAGAGATACTTGTTCGTTGTCTTTGCTATCAAATTTTAGAAATTGGCAGGGGAACCAATGTGGTGATTGCACTCGTTTCCAGAGGAATCATTTCGATAGATCTGCTAGGACTATCCTAGCTCCTGGGGTGGTGACTCATCACTGACCTGGTCAGGAAGCAGCCCGAGGGAGAGAACATGCCATCGTCAAGGTCATGAAGACCCAGATAAGGCGAGGGCAGAAAATGCTGGGTCTCGTTCACTCTCTTCTTGGCTTATCATTTTAATGCAAACGAGACATGTTGTCATTGTATGCCATCAAGTTGGACCTAACTCCTAGTGATCGTATGGGCAACAGAATACATCACCACTGGGCCCTGCACCATTCTCACAATGTGGTCTGAGCCCATTGTCGTAGCCATTGTGCCGCTTCATCGAATTGAACATCTTCCTCTTTAGCATTGGCTTTTTACTTTGGCATGATGTCCTTTTCCAAGGAATGGCCTCTCTTGGTAGCATGCCCACAGTATGTGAGACAAGTCTTGGTCATTTTCACGTTGAAGGAGCATTCTGATTATACCGCTTCCAAGACAAATGTATTTGTTCTTCTGGCAGTCCATTGGAAGGTACTACATAGAAAAATGCAGAACAGATCTCAATATCACAAAAGAGGCCAGACTTACCAGTTGGACAGAGACTTATGGGATCCCCAAGACTATGGTCCTCACCCTTCAAGCCTGAAACTGAACCCTTCTCTACAGTAAAGTAATCAGCTAGTTAAGACCCAACGGGCAGCATTTACTCAATGGCAACATTGAAAAGGTGAGGCAAGCAGTGGGAATGAAAACAGGAAACAGAGAAAAAGTGATGTTACATTGAGGGGTTTGCAATGGATGAGTTGAATCATAGTGTGTATAAATTGTTGGATGTAAAACTATGATCTGTTCTGTGAATCTTCACCTAATTTACATTGAAAAGTTAAAAAACAAACTGAAGATGGACCCTAAGAATAAAAGTTGTAAACGTCAATTAGAATGTCTTTTCACATCCAAAAGCCTTAGATAAAACATAGAAACTCCTAACGATTAAAGAAAGATAGACTCAACTCCGCAAAATAAAAAAGTTCTGTGCTTCAAAACCGTGATTAAAAAATTAATTCAGCTGAAAAATAGGCACGCAACAAAGTAAAACAAACTATTGCCAAAATATGTATCTTACAAAGGAGTTGTATCCAGATTATACAGCACACGATAATAATAAAAAGAGTAAGAATCAAAATTTTCAAAATAGTGAAAAGTTTAGCAAACACTGCCCAAAGAAAAATATATTTACAATGCATCTATATTTTTTCCCCAGGAGGAAATTATATTCACTATGTATACAGGTAGGCAAAAAATATCACTACAAAATCATAGAAAGCTTTACTAAGCAAAAATATTAATATGTGAAGGTATTGTGCTTGACAGGGATTGACACAGTAGCTACAGCAACAGGCTGAAACCTAACAATGAGCATAAGCTCAGGCCCAGGTGGTGTTTCATCTTGTTACACATAGGACTGCTATGCGTCCGAGCTGCCTTGATGGCACCTGTCAACAACAAGAGCAGATCTGCATGACAAGACCGTAAAAAATTTTTTTTCAGCAATAAAAAATGCAAACCCAGAGAAGAAATACAGAATACAAGAAAATGAAGAGAACACAAAATTTGATACCATTTTACTATCAACTCTCTCTTTTTTTAAAATCATTTTATTAGGGGCTCATACAACTCTTATCCCAATCCATACATACATCTGTTGTGTAAAGCACATTTGTATATTCATTGCCCTCATCATTCTCAAAAACATTTGCTCTCCACTTAAGCCCCTGGCATCAGGTCCTCATTTTCCCCCTCCCTCCCTGCTCCCCCTCCCTCATGAACTCTTGATAATTGATAAATTATCATTTTGTCATATCTTGCACTGTCCGACGTCTCCCTTCACCCACTTTTCTGTTGTCCATCCCCCAGGGAGGAGGTTATATGTAGAGCCTTGTAATCGGTTCCCCATTTCAACCCCACCTTCCCTCCACCCTCCCAGTAGTGCCACTCTCACCACTGGTCCTGACGGGATCATCCGCCCTGGATTCCCTGTTGTCAACTCTCTCTTGACGTTACTTCTGTTGGATAAATGTTGGACGGCTAAGTGCAAGGTCAGCTGTTCAAAGCCACCGACTGCTCCTCGGGAGAAAGATCAGGCTGACTGTTCTGATAAAGAATCACAGCCTCCGAAAACCTATGCAAGGTTGCTATGAGCCAAAATCAACTTGATAGAGTTTGGGGTTTAGTGTTAAAAAAATAGATTAAATGTTCCTTGTGTTCGTTAGTCATCTTCATTGCGGTTATGCGATCCATCTGAAACATGGTTAGGCCCATTTGTTTGTATTCATTTTATGTGTTCTTTTTAACTAGGTTAAAAAATTAACATGGGTCTAAAATTCTAAGAGAACTGAGAGAAAAAGTATAGACAAAGGTATGTCCTTCTCCACATTTCATTCTATTCTGTTGTTTTTAACCTTATTCCCACCTCCCCCCATGTGGCTAACCCATCTTATTTCCGATTTACCCTTCATGTATTTTCCCACATATCAGCAGATATTGGCATATATTCATTTGTGTGTGTGATAATTATATATGTTGCTGTTGCTAAGTGTCTTCCCGTTGATATTGACTCCAAGCCACTGTGTGCACTCCAGGGTCCCAAGGCACCCTCACAATTGGTATGTTTTAACCCCTTGTTTCAGCCAGGATGCCAACCCATCTCATAATGGCCCTCCTCTTTTTCATTGACCCTCTGCTTTATCAAGCATGGTGTCTTCCTCAGGGACTAGACCACAGTCCCTCCTAATAGCATATACAAAAGATGTGAGACAAAGGCTCACTGTCCTGCCCCTTAAGGAGCATGCTGGCTGTACTTCTGACAAGACAGTTTTATTCCTTCTTGGGGCATGATCTAAGTCTATGGTGTGATCAATATTCTTTGCTAACACCGTCATTCAAAGGCATCTGAAGACAGCATGGAGAAATCACGAGTTATCTCGTGGTCCGTCCGTAGCAGATGGCGCGCGAAACGCGTCAACTCCGGATCCGTGCGCAATGCGTGAATCCATGACGGCGGTGTCTCTTCCACAAACCAGACAAGCGCCTGCTATTTTCCTACCTCTGAGGAATAAGCTGAGGCCCCGGACACTTCGCAGTTGTTGTTAGGTGGTATTGAACCCGTTCCACTTGACAGCAACCCTGCGTCCAACAGAACGAGACACTGCCCTGTCTTGCGCATCCTCTTAGCGTTCTTATAGTTCAGCCCATTGTTGAAGCCAGGTGTTAATCCATATCGTCCAGGATCTGCCTCTCATTCATTGGCCCTCTCCTTTCCCACGCGTGATATCTTACTCCAGGGACTGGTCTTCCCTGATAACATGTCCAAAGTACTTGAGACAAAGCCGCTCCATCCTTACACACATAAGATTGTACCTGGATATGTTTCTCTAGTCAACCCAGGCGAACACAAAACAACAGAGGGCATCACTAAATAATGAAGAAAGAGTGAAACTCCTCATGACCTGGGTGGCTTTGGAGAACATTCTGCTGAGTGAGGTCAGTCGATCCCAGAAGGACCACTTAACAGTGGTCTTAACCCTCAACCACTTAGCACTTAAAAGGAAAAAATCCAGACAAAGGTTTCCATATCCAAGGAAATATATGTTGATGGTTAGCAGGGCTGGTAGAGGAAGGAAGGAAAGAGAAGCAATAGGTTAGAGAGCAGACAGGTGTTAATTGGGGTGAAGGTTTAGGATAGGAGTCTATAAGAGGAAGAAGAAAAAAATGGAGTCAGGGCAAGTTACTGGGAGGTTTGATAAGTAGTTTAAGATATTGAACATAATCATGAGACCCTGAAATGTAAATCCCCATCTAATTCACAATAAAAGCATTTTAAGTCTACCTCCCATTTCGACAGTGGAAATGAATCCCAGTGAACTGATTCACAGAGCGAGAGGACACCCATTACAGTTTAACCAATGTGCAAAGAAGGCTCTTGGGCAATCAGCTCTCTGGGCTCTTCAGAGCCCAACACTCTCGTTCCAGAGAAAACCCCTCTTGAGATGAAGCTTTATCGCCTCTGTGTCCTTTTAAGCGTCGTTTTCTTCAATGAGCAACATGCCTCCACATTCCAGAGGTAATTCATGAGAATTCTCGGCCATGGGGGTTCATTTTCCCCACTTGTTTATTCCACCGTGAGTCGAGTCAGTACAACAGGCTGGGGAGCAAAAAGGTAGGGTTTGAAGTCCAACTCTTTCAGAAACCTCCCATGTTGCCCTGGCGAGTGAATAGATGTCAGTCAGATGTGGAGGTCCCTCGATCTAAGAGCTGCATTTTGTCTACTCTAGTTCTAGCTCTGTCATTAGAGAAGTCTGTGTGATCTTTCTATTCAGTACCTATGGAAAGCAAAGAAATAGCATCTTTTGTAAATGTGATTATAGAGACTCTGGTGTACCCCATAAGTTAGAGTCTGTTTGTTCTCCTATGTAAAACATACTAGATCCAAATAATTTGTTTTCCTTTTATACATGGAACATGGGGAGGGAGTGTCAAGGGTACAGGTGTCAGGAGGTTTGATTTGTGCGTAGGAATTCACCATTATTAAATGTAAAAGAAGGAGACGTGTTACAAATAACACTTGAATGAACTTATCTTATTTGTCATTGTTTAGTTAGAAATGACTTTATTTTAATGTCTTGCTATTAACCTTTTCTACTACAAATTACTCAGAGAATGAAAATGAACTTGTGCTGTCTGGTGCATCACACATGGACTTAATGGTTCCAGGTTATCAGCAATATTGTAATTTATTAATTAGTAGGTTTTAAAGCTTTTATTAATTTATGTTGTTTCCATTGGCGTTGTTTTGTTGTTCTTTCCATTGCTTATCTTCTCTGACCATGTGTTCCTCTGATTTATGCAAAGCCGATCCCTCGCTTTCATTTACGGATTTGACTGAGAGAGGACAGAAAGCAAATGAGAATACCAGGAAAGGGAGAAACTATACCCAAAATCCCTTTTTCAATTTCGAAATCGCTATTTTAAAAAAAGTCATAAAAAGCTGTAGGGCAGCCAAACTCACTGCCACCAAGTCCATTGGGACTCACGGCAACCGCTTAGGACAGAGTAGAACTGCCCCTGTGGGTTTCCAAGACTAACTCTTTCTGGAAGTCGAAAACCTCACCTCCCTTCTGAGGGGTAGCTGGTGTGGTTTCAAACGGCTGACCGTGGGGCATAGCTTGGCTGAAGCTAGGCGGGTGTGCACTGCTGGCCGCATGTTAAGGGAACTCATTCCATTACCAGCCTATGGTTGGTACTGAGCTGACACGGAGTCAAGGGTGCTAGAATTATCAGGCAATCGATCAGAGGACATGTTCACTACAGCCCTTCCTTGCCAGCTAGAAAATTCTATACCTTGGTGATTGGCCTTAATTACCGGCACAGGGAAGGGAGAAAGAAAACAGTTGACCAAAAGTCCAATCTATCTGATGTGAGCAGTGGCAGTCTCCTTGACAGGGGCAAGGAAGGTAAACGAGGGGTTATTTAGCACCTGTGTTGTCACAGGCCTGGCCCAGGAGCTTTGAAATTCTATCTCATTAAATACCTACAACCCTACACTGAAGGCATCGCTATCAATATTTTACAGATGAGAAAATCCTCAGTTGAAAAAAAAATATCCATTTTACCAACTTCAAAAACCAACGTGGAGCTTGGATTCAAAACCATTTCCGCCTCATTTCAACTTTTTCCCACTGCCCAGCACGACCGCTAACATGTATTGAAATTAGAACGAGTGTCCAGTTGGAGGGAGGTCAGGTTTTGTCACTCTGTCTCTGGACGAGAAGTCAGTCATTTTGGAATGCAGCCTGGACGAGAGGCTAGGGCCGGCGGTCAGACTCATGGTTCTCTTCTACGGCAGACCTACCCATGGTCTGCCTGCCAGTCCAGAGCCAGCTCCGTTGCAGGGGCCGACACACTCTGGTCCTGTAGATAGCTGAACGACCCCCCAGGGTAACCAGTAGCTAACCACAGCAGGAGATACCAGTCCCTGAAGGACATTATGCTTGGTAAAGTAGAAGGACCCGCAACCAGATGGATGAACGCAGTGAATGCAACCATGGAACAATCGGGAGGATGGTGCAGAAGCAGGAGGTGTGTCGTGGGGTTGTACGTGGGTCACTATGTCAGAACTGACATGACAGCCCCTAACAACAACAGCAGCCTAAGGAACATTGATGATTCTGTGGTAGGAGGCTCTGTCTTCCATGCAGGAGACCTGGAGTCAATTCCTGGCCAAATGCAGTATCACACATCTGTCAGGGAAGGGTTGTGTGTTGCTATGATTTTGAAGAGGTTTCAGAATTGCTTCCAGACTAAGATGCGCTAGGAAGGTAGGGCTGGCCATTTACTTCCCGAAATCAGCCACCAAAACCCTGTGGATCACAACCCATCATAGGGGTAGCGCAGGACCGGACAGCATTGCCTTCTATACTGCAGGAGCTCATCATGAGTTCGGGGCAGCTAACCACAGCCAGACCAAAGCTTTACCATGAGCAAGCATTCAGCAGTTTAGTGGGACAGAAAAACCCCCCACAGAACAGAATAAAACAAAAATTCATGTCATGATGTTGATTGCAACTCAGAGACCCGAGAGAAGGTTAGGAAGCCATCAATCTTTATGGGAGCAGATAAGTCTTATCTTTCTCCAGAGGAGCAGCTGGTGAGTTTGACCAACCAACCTTATGGTTCGCTGGCCCAAGCTTACCCAATAGCACAAAGATAATGCAAATGAAGGGAGAAGGTAGGGAGAATATAGGGAAGAAATGAGTGGAGGGATGAGGGGGGCACTTGTGTCTCTTGGTTTCAGAATCAACTCTGACATCTGTTGGTCACCGAGGTTGAAGAAGGTCCTTAGAGGAGACTACTGTTTAACCAATGAAGACATTGAACATATTTACTACCTTGCACCCCTGCGTATGCCAGTGGGGTGGGGGGCTGCAAAGTAGAGCTTAGGGGCAGATGCATTTCTGATTTTTAGCTCTACTTCCTCCACTAGAAAGAACATTGAAAATTTGTTTTGCTGTGAGTGAAAATACATTTTGGAGGCAACCAAATGTTCCTGAGTGCTGCTCTCCCAAGAAGAGTCTTACTGAAGCTTCAAGGGAAATCTAACTTCATTCAGGAGGAGAGACGGACACATTGCTTTAGGGGAAGAGAATAGAAACCCTTCTTCAAAGGGCTTTCTCCTAACGCTATTCTTGTTGTGATTTTCTTGTTGTCTAATAACAATTTGTAGCCAGGCAATCTCTCAGTGGCTGCTTCGTAGGTGCTTGTTGGTAAATCTCATCAGCAAAATGCCCCTGAGCAACGACAACAAAGGTGGAGGAGCGTAACTAGCAGGTGCCAAGCAGAGAAGTGGGCAAACACACACACAATATTCACTTGCTTTTATTTTTTTTTGAAGGTAATAGGTTGTTTTGTTTTGTTTTGTTTAATCATTTTATTAGGGTCTCATATGACTCTTATCACAATCCATACATACATCCATTGTGTCAAGCACATTTGTACATTCATTGCCCTCGTCATTCACTGGCTTGTAAAGACCAAAGGCTACGAGGCTAAAATACAGCACTACAAGAAGGGTGTAACCAGCCGTGAATCGCATTGTGCAGTGATCACCGAAGTGCAGCCTGACTGCTGAGGTTTTGGCTTTGGAAAGAGGACGCAAGGACAAGGAGGAAGAAAAAGATGGAAAGGAATTGGAGGATGGGGCCAGGCCGAGAATGAAGGGTTTTTGAATTATTAATAGGTCACGAGACATGTTCTGGCTGTCAAATACATCCACCGGCCATGCATGGAGCAACTTCTTTCCTTTCACTTAAATTCCTACAGGTACATTATTTTCACCTTTAAGAGCAGCTCCCTAGTTCACCAGGGACCGGAAAATACTGTAGTGTATAAATAAAACGCAACCTTTTCTAATTATTAAAAGGTCATTTTCTTGGGGGCTCTGTATCAAGCATATTTGTGCATATGTTTGCCACCATTATGTTCTAAACATTTACTTTCTACTGAGCCCTTGGTATCAACTCCTCTCTTTTCCCCACCCTCCCCCACCTCGTGACCCCTTGATAACTGATAAATTATTATTATTTTCAAATTTTACACCAACCGCTATCTCCCTTCCCCCATGGTTTCTGTTGTTCATTCCCCCGGGGGTGAGGGTGGTGGGGATTGTCATGTGTCCATCATTTCAATCGGTTCGCCCTTCTTCCCCTCTGTCCCCCACTTCCCCCTGCCCTTCTGGTATCGCTACTCCCATTCCGGTTCCTGGATTCCGTATGATGTGATCTCCTATCTCTTATCTGTATCTGTGCACGTGCTCTGGTCTAGCCAGAAGTGAGAGGCAGTACTGGGGTCATGATAAAGGGGTGTGAGGAAACCTCAAGGAACCAGAGGAATATTGTGTTTTTCATTGGTGCCTTACTGCACCCTGATTGACTCATTCATTCACTGTGACCCCGCTGAGAGGGGATGTCTCATTGTCTACAGATGGGTTTGGGGTCTTTGCTACGACCCAACTCGTTCTCAACAATATGGGTTTTTGTCTGTCTGTCTGTGCCACCTCATGAGTGCACAGGCTGGTGGGCTTCTTCTATGTGACCTTGAAATGGCAGCCTTTGACTGTGTTCCATTGTGCAGAGGCAGCTCATCAGTGTGTGTGTGTGTGTGTGTGTGTGTGTGTGTGTGTGTGTGTGTGTGGTTTTTTGCTTTTTATCGTTATTTGGGTGAATGTTTACAGAGCAAATCGATTTTCCATTCAAAAGTTCATGCACATTTTGTTTTACAACAGTGATTGCAATCCCCACAAGGTAACAATCCTTTTCCCAATTACTCCCTGGGTTTCCCACTTCCGCTCGAGTTTTATCCCTGGGAAAATGCTGCTCTTTGATTTTGCGTGGTTGATTGTGCTAAAGAGTGCAAACCTCTGATGCTGTTGTTCACCTGATGGGCCTCTCGTTTGATGGAAACTGGAGTTCCCAACCTAAAGGGGAGCTCAGCGTCACAGTCTCTGGATTCTACGTGAACGTTCACAACGGTAAGCCTTGTTTCTTTCTTGGGAGGTGGGGAGGGTGT